TTCCCTAGATTATAAATAATATAGATACAGTAAACCTGCCAACAGATACGGTAAAACTGTAGGGCCTACCTGCAAAACAGTGAGACGCGGCTAAATACAGCAAAATATAGGTTACTACAGAGATGTCAAGTTTGAGAAATGGTTGAGAGTGAGACTCAGCGTTGAGCGGAGCGACACCGGCCGAGGGAGCGAAGCGACCAGGGGTGGGGGGCATTTAGTGCATACCTATGGTATGATTTATTGCCTTTATAAATATAAGTTCTTACTCATTTTGAATGATTTGAAGTATTGGGAAATATGAATTGCATTTTTTTATGACTCGGGATGTGTGCTGAGAATTGAAAAGTAAACAAAATACATCAGTAACCTGCAAAGCCATCATCCAGGAGGGATATTGGATTCCAAGCAGGCAAATAAAATGTGCGCCGCTTATAGCGTATACGTATTATACGGCCGGAGCGAGCTAGCTAGCTGGACGGCCGCGGAGCGGCGCTGTTGATCGGGCCTTAGCCTTCCAATACTAGTATACTGGTATCTGGGACTGAAAATAGGGGGTTTTAATTATTTATTTATTGATTTTGATTTTTGCGTGAGAAATTCAGAGATGAGCGTGAGAGCGTGAGAATTGACCAAAATGCGTGTCTCACGCTCAATGCGTGAGGCTTGACATGTCTGTTACTACCATATCCCTATCAAACAAAAGCTATGCATGGCAAATTACAAATACAATTTATATCGGTTCGTGGATATAAGCGCTGACCACAATCCATTTTCGCAATGTGCGACATGTGCAAATGTGGACAGCTCTTGTATCCTTGGGTCTTTATATTTCCGAGTTTTAACCTGTGACACAGGCTGTGTTGTGTAGCCCTTTTGATTCTCCTACAGGAGTGAAGGAGGAGCGAAGGGGCTGCACCAGTAGAGCCAGGCTAAATATAGCTAAGTTACTGGCGTACACCTGTCAAATACAGCTAAATAAGTGAGATAAGCTTATAGGATTGCGCTGTACCCTTGCCAAACATGGTTAAATACAGTGAAATGTACCGTCACATGTTTCTCTGCCTAAATTGGGGGTGGGTGCGAGAATTTGCAGCGAGGTGGCAATTTCAGCAAATATTTAGTGAGGTGGATGAAAGGCGGCCCACCTCGCTTATCATATATGAGCGATAACATTATATGAGAGATGCCTATCTATCTACCTACATACCTGCCTGCCTGCCTACATACCTACCCAACCTACAATCACAAAACATTACCCATGCATTATCACCTAAACAAGTAAAACATATACAGTACACTTACAATATACAAGTCTTTATTTGGTACAATAGCTAGTTGTGTGGCAGTGAAGAACAACATTGGTCAACATGAGAAGTCATTTACTGCTGACCAGTTGAATCATTGCTGACTGTATTGTGATGTTAACAACTCTAATATAACTCAACGTCAGATGCCACCATACCTGTAGCGAACAAATACCTGTTTGTATTGCAAATAACCTCCTCCGTAAGTGACCCGAGTGCTGCTTTGCTGGAATTAATTGTGGTTGACGTGTCTCCCAAGACGTGACGATGGTATTACACAAGCTATTCGTTAAATGTTAATAACTTCCTCTCACCGTCGGCTTAGAAGGAAGATGTCTGGAGCGGAGGATAGGAAGCCGTCCTGTCCACAGCCGATCGGATTTCGGCACAATCACGACCTCTATCAGATTGAAGAGGATCTGAGCTTCTCCCCGCCGACCGCGTCGACGGGTCCCGTGTTCCGCTTCCCCATCGTGAAGAATCGTACGTGGGGGGGCGTAGACGACGCGTCGCCCCGCACCACGACCACCACCGGCAAGGCGATGGCAGGTACTGTATATACCAGGGAAAAAAATATAATTTATTTTTCTGGGGCTACTTTTCAAGCTCGCGTGGATGAAAATAGCACTCTAAAATTTGGTTTGCATTGAACTCTATGCAAATATACGGGGGCTCTTTTTGGCATTTCCAGGGCTCGTTTTGGCATTTCGGGGGCTAAATCGCGTATTTTTTTCATGCTGTATACGCCATATTTTTCGCGTACAGATATTTGTGTGAATTCAGACTTGACGGACAATTTCACGTGTGGTTAATTTCGCGGTCGGTGAATTATGAATTATTCAGTATTATTCGGTATGAATTATTCGCGTGTTGTTATTTTCGCGGTCGGGGACGAAAAAATTAAATTAAACCACAACGAAATGTACAGCGTATATACAGTACTGCTCACATGTGTCTGCCCCATTTCCGCAGATCTGCTACCAAGAGAGATATTGATAGCGAGAGATAGAGGGAGTGAGAGGAGAGAGAGCAAGAGAGAGGAGGAGGAGAGAGACGAAGAGAGAAAGAGTGAGAGAGGGGGGAGAGAAAGTGAGTGAGTGAATGAGTGTGAGTGTGAGTGCATCTGTGTGTGCGTGCGTGCATGTGTGTTTGCATGAGAGAGAGAGAGAGAAAGAGGAAGAGAGAGAGAGAGAGAGATGAAGATGAAGATGGAGCTGGAGGTTACAGGTTAGAGATTAGAGGTAGAGAGAGCGAAAGAAAGCTATCCGAGGCGATGTTCGCACTACACACGTTTGCTCACATTACAGACGACCTCGGCTTGTCGTGTCAGCCACCCGTCCCGCCGCCCGTCCCGCCGCCGCCGCCGCAACCTCCGCTACCGCCGCGATCGCCCGGCGCCGCATCGAAACAGATCAACAAGATGACGTTCGCCGAATTTCGCCTCGACCTCAACTCGCGGCTCGGCGGCAACATGAAGAAGCGGCGGGACTACTCGGGCGATTCGGACGAGGAGGGGGCGGGGGAGCTGCGCGAGTTCTCGCGCAAGGCGCGCTCGCTGCCGGCTTCGCGCACCACGACCCCGCAGACGACCCCGCACTCGTCGCCGCAAACGTCGCCACGACTCGACCGCCGCTCGCTCGACATACGGTCGGCTCCCATCATCTGGCAGGCGGCGTCCGAGGGCGCGGTCGAGTGCGCCCTCTACGCGAGTCACGCTGACGCCGCCGTCGCTGATGATCGCGGGGTCGTCGCCGCGGACGCGGGGTCAGCATCGGCGTCGTCGTCCCGGCGACCGTGGTTCGGAATGTCGGGTTTCGCGCAGGGGGCGCCGGCGCATGCGGCAGAGCGTGGAGAGACGGCGGGATTGGCCGGGCGGCTTGAGAGGGAACTGAGGTTGATGAATAAGCCGTTCATCCATCACAGGAGACACGGGGGCGTGGTGCCGACGGACGGATTCTGCGCTGTGAAGCGGAAGGATTTGAACTTGTTTGCTCCGACGTCGACATGATATTGCCGCGTTCTAGTGATGGTGTCATTGTAGGGCTGCCTCTCACCCCAGATATTCGTGAACTATCCCTAACCCTGTACCTATCCACGAGATCTACTTAACTACAACCCCTCCACGTAATATTTACACGGCTACACCCCTCCATGTGTGATCCTTAGCCACAGTCCCTCCACAACATATTCCTAACTCTAAGCCTTTCTACATGATATCTCTGACCATAAATGCCTTCGTAAGATATTCCTAACCTTAAACCTCTCCATGTAATATCCCTAACACTAAACCCTTTCACATGATCTCCCCATCCATAAACTCTAATCCTATCCATGTTATATCCCTAACCCTAAACCCTTCCACAAAATATACCATACCCTAAGCCTATCCACACTATATCCATATCCCTAAATCCCTCTTTATGATATCCACAACCCTAAACCTCTGCTTGTGATATCCATAACCCTAAACCTCTCCTTGTGGTACCTTACCTACAACCCTAAACCTCTCCTTGTGATATCCATAACACTGAACCCCGCTCTGTGATATCCATAACCCTAAAACCCTTCATTGTGATATCCCTAACTTTAACCTAGCCAGAAGATATCATTAACCCTAAACCCATCTATAATATATCCCTTCATCTCACCACATGTCTTTCCCTCCACATGGAATCCTCGTCTCTCTCTCTCTCCTTCTCTTTTTCTCTCTCTCTCTCTCTCTCTCTCTCTCTCTCTCTAGTTCTCTTGCTCGTTTCCGTCGATACGCGTACTAACTTCCCTGTGATAGACCTTTTTACTCTGCCTCTCTCCTGTGTTCAGCAATGAAGGGGTTATGCACACATTGGGCTGCACCTACCCTGCAATCACACACCACACTTGACAGGATCTCGTTTTGCATCACATGCCGTGTCTTCGCAGACACTTTTGTGTTGCAGATGCTATTTAAGCTATGTGAATTGAATACTGCTAGATAGGTCTATGTACCGTACCTGTTTGTGATCTAACTCTAAGAAAAATAGCTAAACCTAAAGAATGAGTAAATTTTTTGACCAGCTAAATATACCATTTCGAGTTTGCACCGTGCAATCATCAATTTAGCAATGATCTTTATTGTCTCGTCTAGTTGTAATTATACTAATTATGTACATAGCGGCGTGTTTATGTCCCCCCATATTTGGAGTAAATACTGTGTGTTACTGGATTATGCTGTAGGGCATCCCATTAAGATATTGTGCCTATCATTCCTGTTTTTTGTCATTTTCTAGTGGGCAAACCTGGCTGCCAAAACACGGTTGCTTTGTAATGTGACTTTTCCTGAAATTGTGCTTTTTTGGAAGGGGTCATTTGCTGGGCATATTGATTGTTGGCCGATATCTCATAGTTGGTGCGTCCGCATTGATTCTGGTCGCTTATTTATCAAACGTTTGTTTCAATTTAGGAACCGAGTGAGTCGCAGAATGCACAGATTTCATGATCCGGTGTTATTTATATGTTCTAAGCAAAGATATTGCATGTATTCGCTTAAAAACTCATTTTTTGTGACGGGCATTGCTTGCAGTCACAATGACGTGTGTATCCTATTCGGCTGAGAAATTAATTTTATGAAGTCGGGTGTTAATATGTTGCAGAGTTGATGCTGTATCTGCGTATTAACTAGTCAGATTTAAAAACATTACATACACTTGTTAGTTTTGTTTTCTTTCTGTTAGCGTTACTAGATTTTTAGCTTGCCCTGACATCGTCAGGATGAGCTATTGCCATGGGGTGTCGTTCGTCGTACGTTCGTCCATCAACATTTGGCGACGGTCAACGATAACTCAAGAACTGTTGGACCCACATGTTGCAAAATGCAAACAAATTGCATGCAGTTGTTACTCCTATGGGAGAGGCTTGAACGTCCTATTTTGGAGCACGCCAGTCGACCTACTTTCGAGCCACGTCCACTTTTTGGCAAAAATGGAAATGGCCATAAGTCAATTCAGATTCAACGGATTTTGCTCATTTCTAGTATGTGAATGAATAAGGACTCGCCCCAAAACATATCACACGGGTTTTTATTTATTTTTTAATTATGCAAATTGGGTAGATTTTGTCAATTTCACTATGCATTTCAGTGTCTGCCTACGGTCAACGATAACTCAAGAACCGTTTGACCCACATGTTTCAAATTGAATACAGTTGTTACTCCTATGGGAGAGATTTGAACTTCCTATTTTGGAGCACGCCAGTCGACCTACTTTCGAGCCACGCCCACTTTTTGGAGAAAAAAATGGCCATCTAAATTCTCAAGATTTCAGACTTTCAGATCTGAAACGTTTATTTTCGCATCAAAACTTATGCATATATAATTATCAAGAGTATATAATGGGAGATATGCTATATAATGGGAGATATGCTATATAATGGGAGTTCTCCCATATATACTCTTGCTTTATATATCCCCCCTCCCTCTTCTATCACACCCAAGGTGAGCTACAGTGTCATTGACACTTTCATTTGACTACACGAAAGTCCGTGCCATGTCCTGCTTAAGTGCGCTGCATATTTAAGGTGATGAGGTACAATGACAAAGACCCAGTCTACCTAGCTAAACAAATATCCCCGAAGAACGAATTTCTCTATAGCGTATAGAGTAATAAGAACAAAATCGCACTAACATTGTGTGTGAACACTACGTGACCATTTCTTTTGTGAGTCGATGTGCCAAAATTATTTGTTTAAGCGTGTAATATTATCAGGAGTGTGTAATAAATATAGATCTATATTATCAGAAGTAGATTATAATAGGGAATTATTCCCTATTATCTACTTCTGATATGATACACTCCTGATATTATCGTATGCTATATCAAGGCTGAATAAGATATCATTCAGATAAACACCCACGAGGGCAGCCGGCATACCCGTCTGTGACACATCATAGAATGTCTTTATGTAGAATCCTAGAGTTTATCCTAGGAGCAATTTTTATATATAACCTATGTAGAAGGACGCTATTAGTACATCCATCTTACCAGAAATATGCCACCTAGAAATTTTGGGATTGTTAGTAATGTTACAACATTACACGCACCAAATTAAAATACCGTACAGAGCACAATATCTACAATACACATATGTAAATTAATTTTCCCGATAGATGGCAGAAAGAGGTCATGTTTGCTTGTGCATACTATCAGGAGTGTATCAAAATGATTTTGATACACTCCTGATACTATTATAGGTACCTACATACTGGGGTCCTTATGGAGGGAGCGAAAGAGATGGAGAGGGAAGGAGGGGGAGATGTGTTATCACGCAAACAATAGGATAAGAGCCCATTGCGTATACTGTAATTATAAGTTTAGTTAGAAACTACTGGAGTGTAGGAAAGTCCTGTGTGGGTAGATAGACGGTCGGACGTGCGGTCGTGCTGATGGACGGGCGTGCGGACGGACGGACGGACGGACGGACGGGCGGGCGGACGGACGGACGGGCGTGCGGACGGACGGACGGACGGCACGAACGGCACGAACGGTCGGACGGACGTGTAGATGGATGGCTTGGACGGGCAGACAGGTGGACGAACGCCGACGGACACATAGGCGTGGGGAATCCCAAGACTTCTAGTTGTTGCGTGAGTCACGTACATCTATGTCATTTGTACGTACGTGCATACGTGTGTGCCTGTGTGGGTTCGTGCGTGCGTGCCTGCGTGCCTGACCTATCTATAGCTTCCTTCCCCGCTTCCTTCACATGGGTGCGGCATATCTTCGTCGATGTCGAAATACAGCAAGAAATGTATGAACTACGTGTTCAATGTAATTTCATACCCATCGTTTTCTTCGTTGCGCCAGTAACTTCCTCATTCATAACATCGAGCCGTGCTCTACAAACTACGGTATTAATTTTTACATAGAATTGTTGTTTATATTTTATTGATTTGTTTTGTGTCATTGTTGCGGGCTCTTGTTGCATGACCGTTATTAGGCACCGCATACATTCCTTCGGGATACCGTATATACTCGTGTATAATTACACCTTTTTGTACTTAAATTCAATATAAAAAGCTGAGATGCTATACTTATACTACTATTAAGGCCGTACGCAGGAAATTTTCTGTAGGGGGGCAAATACGCAGGAAATTTTCTGTAGGGGGGGGCAAAGGTACTCCCCACGCCCTCTATTGCCCTATTTGTCCCATTAAAAGGCATACCCTGAAAATCTCTAGGGGGGCAACTGCCCCTGCTGCCCCCCGCTGCGTACGGCCCTGCTTATACACGGGGCCAAGGTGAAGGTAAAGGTCAAGTACGTCGCTCAACACAACCCAAGAAATGATTCCAGGCGGCCTCACATCTCTGCTACAACCCTTGAATGCAGTCATCAACAAGTCTTTTAATGACAGAGTACGACGAAAGTGGATGACGTCTTTATACCAGAAAGAACTAGCCAAGCTAGAGTTGTAACATTAAAAAACAAGCTTATCCAGGGGCGGATCAAGGATTTTTGAAAGGGGGGTGTCCAGGAAGAAATAAAGGGCACTTTTCCTGCTTATGTATTCTGGTGTTTTAAAAAGCTGCCGAAGGCCACTTAGGGGGACGTTTGGGGGACCTCCCCCAAGAATTTTTTTTTAAAGTGGTGCATTCTGAGAGTTTCTGACTCCTGAGCAGTAATTTTGATGACTAGAATGCAAAAATGTATCAGATCCGGTACCCCGGAAGCCTTAAACTTTATCAGAAAAACTAGCCCTAAAAAAATTGGGATGAAATATTTTAGGACACTTTGAAATTAAAGGGGGGTTCGGAGCCCCCCTAGATCCGCCTCTGTTATCCCTATAGTCACCTCGTGGGTGCCTGGGATGAGATTTCACCTGAGCTGGTCAGAAAAGGTTTTCTGAACACGGGTTTTACACCTTTATTCAACAACTTTTGCCTACCAGATTACTATGACAAAAATTGACAATAATAAAAGGTCATGACCGGGTTGACCTAATCTAATGTTGTTATCGTAATGGATAATACGTATTGGATATTTATTGAAGAAGATGCGCGTAAAAAGGTACGGTAATACGTGATGTAGATGGCGCCACCATCATTTCCTTGCTCATGCGCGAAGTGATTATTGTTTTGGTGAACTCGGTTGTACAGACATTTCCTCTCTATCTCTAATTGTTGTGTTCGTCTTTTTTAGAAGTCATATACTATATTCAAAGTAGCTGGTATGCTTGGAAAGGAGTTTATAGTCACATTAGTTATATACTTTTTTTACTTCGTGGAATCTGGTAAGTAAAACTTCATACTTTGTGTTATTGTAATGACTTATGTAGATTAATAAAGTGTGTGAATGTAAGTCTACATCAGTGCAAGTTCCGGTTTCACCCCTACCCCTGACTCCACCCGTAGATTACTTACGAAATTGCTCATTCATAATTGTGAGTCAGCAGAACCACTGCGTAATAATCACACGTGTGCTTGGGTAGGTGTAGTGATGTGTCCTTTCTAAACAATGAGACTTGAGTTTACATTGACCTTGTGCCCGAGTGACATCTAGTGTCGGAGTGGCATTCAGTGACTTATTATTATTAATATTAATATTAATTTATCGGGATTTAGAATTTATTCTTATGCGATCATTTATACCTCCACAGTGTTCAAACTTCAAACCACAATGTCAATCATCAATGGTGGTAGAGAGATATTAAATCTCATTTAAATTTTCCGAGTGAAGACGGGCGATTAGTTTAAAAAAGGGACACTGGCAGAAAAAAGAGCACTATATTATTCATGATTTCGTGGAAAAGTTATCATTTTTGTGAGAACGGATAAGGTATTAAAACAAAGGGCGGTTGTTATGTTTTTGTTAATATATACAGAGTGGCTATATGCCTGGCAGCCGGGCACGGTCTTCGATTTCGCTAAATGCCCCGGCAGTTTTTAAATTTTACGTGATTTCTCAATGTAACAGTGTACTACGTGATCCGAAAGCATTCTACATTTGTTTAGAAATGTCAAGCCGCATTTTTTGTTAGAGCTGTATAATTCGAACTACACCCAATTCTCCTAGCTTGGGATCACTGAGCAATAACGAACCTCGCAATCGACACTTAGAAAATATCTGACGGCTGGCGGCAAGCTTCAGAATTTCGCTAAATGCGGCAGGCCGGACAGTTTTTAATATTTCAGGGCGTTAATCTCAAGTAAATGGGTTAGGGTTGGAGGAACTGCCGGCAGTTTAGGAATGCGAATATCGTCCTGGCTTGCCGGCATATAAGGGCCACAGCGTAATATAATATCTGTGTTGTTAATTTTATGTCAGGTTTATGTTCTCATATTGTCGTGTCGCATACACTGAATGTAATGACAAGGGCTATAGCTAGCCATTAGAGGTGTGACCGGAATAGCTTGGTAAAAGCAGGTAGTCAGCCATTAGCAAAATGGCACCTTGAGCGTGTCAGCAGGCCAGAGTTCCTTTGCGCCCATCGCAGTGGTTCTTTTAACGTCCCCAGGGTTCTCCCTACGTTTGCGGCAAATGGGCGCGCTGACTGCGTCCCGTTTGGGAAAACATCCCCCCTGTTTCCGAATCGTTGTGCGCCCCGTTTAAATTCCACCGCGACCCGATTAAAAATAAATTCCACACAACAATAAAAAGTTGACGCGCGGGATATCGATCGTCAAGAATTCCCATTCAAGCCAGGACACCCGACGCGTGCATCTTTACCGTACAACGCATCAGCTTCAGACTAGCACACAAAGTACAACAGTCAACCTGTCCCGAAGCCCAAACAGCTAACTGTACACCGATCGGCTAATCTTGATATATTATATACAAGAATCCCCAAAATACCATCTATGGTGTGGTGCGATTTTACGCAATTAATTAAGTGGTAAGCGGTAAAAAAACACAGGCCCCCCGGACCCCCCTAGTTCCCCCCCCTTCCTCCTCCCCTCCCCCCCTGTTTCAATTTCATCCTGGGGAGAACCCTGGTCCCCATTGAATAGTATTTCTGGAAACGGGACCGCCACTTTACGTGGTCATCTGAGCCACGGGGCTACTCGTGTGTTACAATCGTTTTTCCTATAATGGACTACGTAATCATCTTCGATACTATCTATGCCATAGTTCAAAATGTACATATATATGTACATTTTATTACCAAAACGTGGTAAAGTTGTATAGGCATCTAAGCAATTGTTTAAGTGTATTGACAATCTCTTTAAAATGCAAACACAATACTGTTTGCAAAATTGTTGGCATTTTTACATATATAGAGATACAGACTGAGCAGAAAATATGCGACTAACATTAGAAAATGTGTTTCACTCTTTGATAGCAAACAGACTGAATGAATACATAAGCAACTACGATGTGGTTCGTTATGATCGCGAAGAGCTACACAGACATCACCTGAGAACGAAACGAGGCGCAGCCGACTACCAGCCTTTTTTACATCTAGATTTCCATGCATTAGGAAGGTAAACAACAATCAGTCCATACAGGGGGGGGGGGGGGGGGGGGGGGGGGGGGGGGGGGGGGCGGGGGGGGGGGGGGGGGGGCGGGGGGGGGGGGGGGGGGGGGGGCGGGGGGGGGGGGGCGGGGGGGGGGGGGGGGGGGGGGGGGGGGGATGTAGATATATCTCATTGGTCCAATGAAAACTGCGAAAAACAAACGATGATATATATAGTCAAAACCATCTCTTAGTCAGTTGAATTAGATAACGTTAACCATGCAGTTCAACAATTTACTAATTATTGATAAACAGCTATACTTGCTTGATTCAATAAAACAGGTTTTCCTTGTCAAGTTCCTGATCCGAGCGCAGAGGGTGGTAACCATGGAAACATTACATGTTTTTTTTTCTGTCTATTTTGTGCTATGTATAGATAGATGTAGCTCTAGTAGTACTATAGCCCGCGTACAGTTGCCGCAGGGCTATAGAACATTTTAAACTAGATTTCTGCACTGCACGACTGGTCCCCAAGCTCCCACAAAAAATCACTCACAGAAAACGCAATGATCGTGCTTTTAAAAGCACTTATGCTATCTACATGGACATTCTCACCTAAAATCTTTTTTGAACAGCTTTCCACAACTTTACACCCATTATAATGCATTATTTCTCAAAGTCTTAGCACTACTTCCATTCCGTTTGAAATGATGTTGTGTACACGCGTGACGTCACGCCCGAAATGTAGGGCAAACACATGGCAGCTATTGATGCAGCCCTATTACCATTTATGTGACTCACGCGTGTAACACAACATCATTTCAAACCGGAATTGGAAGTATGCTAAGACTTTGAGGAATAAATGCCATAAATAGCATGGTGTAAAGTTGTGGAAAGTGTTGGCAGAAAGATAGTGAGATTCGCATGTAGATAGATAAGTGTTAAAAAGCTCGATCATGTTTGTGTTATGTGAGTGATTTTTTGTGGGCACCTTTGGGAGCAAGGTGGCAGTTTGCGAAAATTCTAGTTAAATGTTTCTATAGCCCTGCGGCAACTGTACGCGGCTATAGTAACTGAGAGGCTAAATAGATGCTGATAGCTTAAATTAATTTAAAACGCAAAATTTACTCGAACACTCGTTAGACTGAATGCACATAGTGCATCTTGGAGATAAATTCAATTCTTGACCCATTAGTCAAAATGTGGTCAATGACTAGTGGAAATCCCACGAACTTCCCTCACCCCCGAATGCCGATAGAGAATCATCTTGCCCCTTTTAAAAATGTGTGTGGTAATCGGATATTATTATTAAAGCCGCACAATGCGCATCCAAACGCTAATTTCTCGCCAGTACCTAGACTAGCAAATACTTCGCGTGTCTATGCATAATCACACTACCTATGGCATTAAATAAACTCTAGTCCCTCCCATGTTCCACTGCGCGTGTCCTATAAAAGGTATTCATTTGAAAATACCTCCAATGTTGTTCCAAATTCTCCGATGTTGTTGACAGTTTCCCGAAGTAAGCCGTGCAGTGGTGCTGGGGCGGTACAGGCTGTAAGCGGTGTGGCAAAGATACAAAAACATGTGACGCAAACCTAAAACGCACTTTCGAGGCTAAATTGTTTGGCAAACAAGTCGGCGTGGGCACCTAGAATGCCAGTTTTCTCAGCCTCTTTCTTCGTGGGTGTTTAAGCAAAACGCGGCAGTGAAATGGGAGCATAAGAGTTTATTTTGTGCATAAGGTAGTGTGATTATGCATGCCGAGCGAAGTATTTGCTAGTCTAGTAGCTGAGAAATTAGGCCGTTTGATGCCCATTGTGCGGCTTTAATCTTTATGTACTTCTAGCTCGGATCAGAAACAGGGCAGGGACAAGTTGTTGGTCGTATTAAATCAAACAAGCATAGGTGATATTTATTGAAGTAGTATATATTGTTCAAAGTACGTAGTTTTAATATAATTTGATTCGACTGAAGCTAAGACATTGTTTTCAGTTTTTATTGTTGTTTGCATTAGAGGTTATGAGCTCTTGACTGTTCTAACCCAGTCAACTGTGGTCATAATGATAAAGGTAGGCTGTGGGTAGTTGTACAGATGTGGTCGGTACTGTACTAACCAAGTATACACACTATATTTACTAATTAATGTTTTGATAATAAAGGATAGCTGGCTTCATCATACTCATTACGTCATCCCACCTGTTCCTCTCACACAATTAACTGCTAACGATGTGAAACAATGCAAATTCTGCAGAAGCATGTGACTTTTCTTCTTTATCTAGCCTCCTAGTTCTAACTATTATGTATAGCCACACATCAAATTAAGTTTCTTTGAATAGTGGGTATATATCTGCATGGATTGGCATGCAATGCATGTGTCATGTGTAGTTTTCATGTGCAATGTGCATGGATTTAATCCAGTGTGCCAAAACTAAAAAGAATCCTATAGCCAGTTTTGGAAATAAGTCTGAAGACTTCGCCAGTCCTGATATCGAAAATGCTTATTCCTACTCTATAACCTATAGTAAAATAGATAAAAATGAGTCATTCCTGCTTAAAAGTTACCAGACCCAGACTGGGGGATGGGCTGCTATTCTTAACATTGGTCTATTAACACATCCCTCTCTTACTCTTAGTGTTCTCCCTACAAATTTCAGTAGGCATGATGTTTAAGGATAGATGGGGGAGGGCTCGGGAGGTGGTTGTATCATTAGCAGCCCTAATACACAGGTAAACCCAATCAGTTCCAAGATATACTTATCAAACTGAAAACAGCATGACAGGTGTTGTGATTGCCAAAGTAAACACTGTGGAAATCAAGGCATGTTGGGGGATTTTCAGGATGTCAAAAATTAGCTTCAGGTTTGAAGGCTTGTCTGACTCAACATTTGTTAAATGCCAGGGGAGAATCTTGTCTGTCTATTACATTCCTTGCACACAAGCTGACACGTGCAGAAGGACAACCTATCAGGATTAATGCAGTGTTGAGCAAATGTATGATGATGTTTGCCTAGCTAAGCAGCGAGTCTGTAGCTGAATAATGATAGCTGGAATTAATGCAACACAGCTAATATGATAATATTAGTGAATGAATGCACTTGAAAGTCAAATAATAAAGCTGTCACATGTAAATGTTATAAAATATTGAAATTTTTTGCATATGAATTGATAATTAAAGGCCACAGAATGAATAGAATTATTTGTGAATAAATAAATAAAGAGTAAAATAGAGGATTTTTCCATAGATCAAGCAGTAAGTAAGCAAGAAGTACAACATATTGGACCTTACACACTTGTACAGACTTTAATACCTGTATGCATCATGCACACCTGTAGGTATTTTGCACATCTGGATAGACTTTACACACTTGTAGGTAGCTCACACACCTATACAGACTTTATATACCTGTACACACCTACACACTTGCAGGTATCTTACACATGTGTACAGACCTTTGCATCATTGCATCGTGCATCTTTAGGTACCTTACCGACCTGCATGTGTCATATACCCCTGTAGCTTGCTTATACACCTGTAGATACTTTACATACATATATAGGTACCTTACACACCTATAGGTACCTTACACACCTATAGGTACCTTACACACCTGTTGGCACTGTACACATCTGTAGGTGCCTTGCAGGTAGGAACGTAATTCTGGTTAACAGCCTCTGAACGATTGCCTTATAGCCTTATATTAATTATACATGTTTTCTGATTGTGTTTGTCATGTGCATGACCTAGATCCCACTGCATGGTATAGTGCCGTCCTCACTGAGCTAGCTGTCACACGCTGAGTGCGCTTAGTGAGTGAAGCAGGGCGTGAAACGGTGCCGCCAGCGGTGCTGCTAGTGCTGGGCAGCAAACGCATTATGTAGCTATAGTGTCCATCAATTCTACAAATATAACACACATGACGTATGCATACGGTACACATTGTTGCTGAACACGTGCGTGTGTGTGTGGGTAGGGGGGGGTGGTTGTGTGAGTGTGCGTGCGTGCGTGCATGCATGCGTAAGGTTGGTTTGGGTTAGGGCGTGGTAACTGGTGGTTCGTGACGTAAGGCATGACGAGTTGAGCGAGGAATGATTTGATAAACATAAATTATGTTGAAATAGAGTTTTTGTGTGGTGTAATTTGTGGCATTGTGTTGTTGACCATGTATGAGTGAGTGAGTGTAGGTCATGTAGGAGTGGATGGTGCATCACAAGTGAATATGGTGTGTGGAATGTAGATTTGGAATGCTGTGCATCTTGCCTTGGTAATAAACTACACACTATATATCATATATATATATATATATACACACAATATGGCTTGCAATCAGTACAAAACATAGAAACATGCATATATATACGCTGGGCCGTAGCTTGCAGGTGGTGGTGGTGGTGGTGGCGGTTTTGTGTGTCGGGGGGCAAGGGGGAGTGATAGCTCCCCTAATATTCAGTCTAATGTAGATATTACTACGTAGAAATGGCAAATTCCTGATAATAAAGTATATAATATTTATTTTTCAGGCATTTTCATGTTAGACTAAGAAGAGATACATCCATATTTTCTGAGGATTTTGTACTAGAGAACCATGAGGGACCCCTAGAAGACTTTGATACGTCATTTTTTTATGTAGGAGATTTGTGGGGTAAGTTTGTGGAGTGCTTAGAGGAAAGTGAAGTCAGTTTTATGGTGGTATCGTGATTCATCACCTCCACGCTGTGTTATGGCCCTGTCACACCTTGACGATTTAGCCAGCGTATGCCGACGTATCAAAATTTCTCTAAAACGCTGGCATACGCTGAACTATCGATGTTTTTTTCAATTTTGGGCGTATACATAGCGTATTCATAACGAGTTGGACGTATACATAACGTATTAGTAACGTATATAGAACGTTTCGATAACTTATAGATAACTTATAGTCTTATATCAACGAATGCTTCTAAGTTCTAGCGTGTTGCCGGCGTTCACAACTTATGCCCAACGATAGTCTAACTTATGCATAGCGCGCGGCAGCGTATCGCCGCCGATCACGTGTCGTAGCCTATAAAAAGGCTGCCGCTCGCCGATTCAAATCATAACCGCACTAGACATCGCAGTATCAACATCACAGTCGCAGTATCAACATCACCGTCGCAGTATCAACATGCCAATACCATTTTTATATACCAATTTCCCTAAACGCTGCCAATACGCCATTATACGGTAGCTGTAAGTTAGAAACACGTTCAGCAAGTTCTGTGGTCGTCCGGAACACGTCAAATACGTTTACATACGTCAATATGCGTTGGAGATAAGTTCGATATAAGTTACACATAGGTTCAAAGCACGTTACTCATAAGTTTTGGGTATACGCTAGACATTATCTCGACGTATTTCGACTTATGAGTAACTTACAAGTAACGTGTGTCAACGATCGCATAACTTACCTACAGCTTATGGCCCGCGTATGCGGTACGTATGGGCATACGCTGGCATATAGCATGCTCATAATTTTCTGACGACCTTGCCGTACTACGACGTATACCAGCGTGCTTCAGCGTGCTTCAGCGTGCTTCAGCGTGCTTCAGCGTGCTTCAGCGTGCTTCAGCGTGCTTCAGCGTGCTTCAGCGTGCTCTTAACTTATACAAAGCTTACCCATAACTTATTCGTCGTACGCCAGCGTATTCGCCAAATTTTTTATACGTCGGCATACGCTGGCTAAATCGTCAAGGTGTGACAGGGCCATTAAACAATGACTAATGACCAATATAATTTATATGTGTAAATTTGGTTGTGTTGACCTTAACATAGGTGGCATTCAATGCATTTACATTTGACTAGAACAAACCTGCTGATAACTGTGACGTAGAAATGCATCCGTTGCCTGTAAAGCAGATCAGCACGTCAATGTATAGATAACACCTTAATGTAATTATTGCAATGTAATAATGTAATAATATATAATCAAGAGCTAATAACTATTAGCTCTTGATATAATGCAATGATATATAACGTAATAATGAATTATCCGACACGATCCTGGTCCTCCTATTCACGGGGCAACCACAAGTTCGTTGTCAACGTAGTCTTCTCACCTGCTGGGTGTGTTTCACCGTTTTCATTCTGCTCTCTGCTGTCGTGACTTCCAGGTGTGGAGGGAACCAAGGTGGATGGGTCCATACTGAAAGGTGTGTTTGATGGTAAGATCTACACACCGAAGGGGAACTATTATATAGAGCGAGCACAGAAGTACCTAGATGACCCCGTACATCCATCCATCATCTATGCAGAGAGAGATGTAGATGATGTATACAGGTATGTGTGTGCGTGCATATGTGCATATGCGTGTGCTTGTGTGCATGTGTGCTTGTGTGTGTGCGTGTGTGTGTGTTGTGTGTGATGCATGTGTGTGGTGATGTGTGCTAGCGCACCAACTCGGTGCGTGCGAGCGTCGCAGTTGTGGCCGCATCTTGTGCTGTGTGCGTACATGTGTGTGTTCTTGCAGGCATGAGCATCCACACGTGCTGCTGCAACACTATTGCAGCTGGTGCTAGAGCTGTGACTGAATATATAGAGTCTGCGTGCTATGATGTGTGTGTGTGTGTGCGTGCGTGCGTGCGGTGCGTGCGTGCGCTGCATGCGTGCTGTGCGTGGCCGTCTGGTGTGTTGTGCTGTGTGTGTGTGTGTGTGCTTGTGCGAGCCACATGTGTGGGCTGTGTGTGTGTGTGTGTGTATGCGTGCGTGCGTGCGTTGCTGAAATACTCTCTAAGCTAGCTCTATCGCTATCAAGCTCTAGCTTCTATGATGCGTTTGCATGTTTGTGTCCTGTGATTGCAGGCACAAGCGTGAGACGGAGGCACCCGGCTGCGGCCTCACCTCCCAGGTAGAGGAGTGGATGCATCAAATACAGACGTCGGCCACCGACGAGGGCGCCACTGATGCAGCCGAGGGAAGCGCGCAGGTAGGAGCGTGACGAGAGACATTCAAGCGCCAAACTCTGCACCAGTTGTTAGATACGTAGATGTAATCTATTCAGAAAACGACAATATTTACAAATGCGAGGAGGAAAAAACGCTGTAATGTAAGGTGCAAGGAAAGAGGGTTGACTAATTCATGAGCTTATTCCCTGTTGTTACAATGTAAAAGCTCATCGTAAACTTTGTCAGGTTTACAGCAGTTGAGTTCCTAACTTACATAGCTCGTCCCCAGGTCGCCAAATGTGACTATAATTTCATTTTGAAGATCACAAACTTGCAAAAAGGGTCGTTAGTGATCTAAAGTATGATTATTTGTCATTGTTTGCAACGTAATTCCGTAGCGTACATGTAAGAAAGCATTTCATTCTTTGACTGCTGCCAGCTCAGATGAAGCACGGATGGTTTCAAACAATGTTTACACGTCTGTCAATGATATTTGACAGGCAAGTTAATAACAATAAGCATAACAGATAGCATTTAAGCTATAACAAACGTAAATAATGACTAAATTTAGCTGTGTGCAATGCAAATTTGCACCCCCTCTCAAGTATTCTTTTCTGTCTCCCCTGTTGTTTTTTCATTTGGCTCCTCTTTTGTCACTGTAAGAGAACTTCGTACTCGTACTTCTCCTCCCCCTTCATTGTCTACTCCACTTTCACCTTCTCTACTGTATTTTCTTCTCCCATCATCATTACTGTCATTCTCATCAACCTCACCATCATCTCCTCTGTCATCGTCGTAGTTGTCATCATCATCAACATCACCATCATCTCCTCTGTCATCGTCGTAGTTGTCATCATCATCAACATCACCATCATCTCCTCTGTCATCGTCGTAGTTGTCATCATCATCAACATCACCATCATCTCCTCTGTCATCGTCGTAGTTGTCATCATCATCAACATCACCATCATCTCCTCTGTCATCGTCGTAGTTGTCATCATCATCAACATCACCATCATCTCCTCTGTCATCGTCGTCGTTGTCGTCGTCATCCTCATCAGAATCACCGTCATCTCTGTTATCGTCGTCGTTGTTGTCGTCATCATCAACATCACC